GAAGTCAAGGTCAGATGAAACCTGTCAGTCATACATGTATGCCTTACAATCATTTCAAATACCAAATATAGTTGACCTTTTACTTATAGTATTTGAGATATGGACTTGACCACATAACTTTAACCTTGATCACGGAATAAGGTCGAGGTCAGGTAAACCTTACCCGACAGACATGTAGACATTGCGAGGAACCCATATACCAAATAAGTTATCCAATTACTCATAATAAGCGAGTATTTCACTTAACAAAAAAACTAATTTTCTTTCAAGCAGTCACTGAACCATGAAAATGAGGTCAAGGACAATGGACATATGACAGAAGGAAACTTTGTAACATAAAGTATCTGCACACAAAGTCTGCAGCATCCAGGTCTTCTACCTTCTGAAATATAAAGCTTTAAACAAATAGTTTACACCATTGACGCCACCACTGGATGTATAATACCTATGTCTCACAAAAATAGCATTTTAATAATTTGGTGCATCCGAAGCACTTTTTATTTATCTCATCGGGAACGCTCAAATTCAATTATTTGAGAAATGGCCATGTATAAATACTTGATTTATATGACTGTAGGGTGCTTACATTTTTTCAGAAACTAATTAAGTTCAACTTTGCCTGTTTGAAATGGAACCTAAAAAAATAGACAAATATAACAACAAATTATTTTGAATCTATGTGTATTGAACTTGTGACGCCTCTGTCTTTAAAAGTCACCCAAAGACATTTTTAACAGAATGCCGATGGTTATCTCAATGATAGAATAAAATATAAATACAAGCTTATTTGAAAGTAAAGTTTTCATTTATAGCTAAATGTTTATGAAATCAATTTGTTTATTTAGATCAAAAGGTGCCAATTTTGCTTATCCGATTAATAACTCTCATTTTTGTTTGCATATTCCTAGAGGTGTTTTTCATAAGAAGTTTTGTATAAGGTCAATAAAATTGTCTTATACATGTACTACCATAGCTAAAAATAACAAATTTGGAGGGTGAAAGTACTGAGAGTTTCTAGTCCCTCAAGGGAAGATCTTTTTAAAAGATTTCGATAAGAAATGCAGCTAGTCACATAATAGAGGGGCCTGATGGGTTATTTTCATTCTTCGTAATCGGCGCATTTTCGCTATCGTGATCCGTTTTTCTACAGATTTTTTTTTTTTTATATTTTCATGTTCCGTGATCATGAAAATTTATTTTCTGTGAATCGTGATTGACAAATAAATCAACTCGTGAATCGTGATGAGAACCCCCATCAGGCCCCTCATAATAGTGAGTGACAAAAAAAATGTGAACTAAGGTTATATTTTTCAAAATATCACACATTAAAAACAAAAATTTATTTGTAAAAAATTATTATGCTTAAATAATTGCAAACAAAACAAGCTGTCAAATTGGCTCCACTCGTTTTCGAGTCACCAAACTAATCTTGACTTTCATACTGTGTAACACTTAAAACTTGATATTTATACATTACATTACTAGACCATATGTTATTCATAAAGAAAGAATAAAACCTACCTTACATAAGAAACTTTCAAAACTCCCAAAAAACCTGCAAAGTTTCTACTTGACGATTGCGGGAAAAGAAAAGTTAACTCTTACATGTACCGGAAGTGTGATTTCGGCGTGACTTTTTACCCCAATATACCCCAACATACCCCAATATACCTAAAAAAAAAAACAGTTTAAACATAATTTGGAAGTTTAAAAAAAAAGTCGCACCCGTGTGATTACCCTTTGTCCCAGACAATGAAAAAACATGAAAACTTTAATTATAACAAGTGTAAATTTTTAACTATAGATAATCTAACTAAAGTCATATCAAATGAGTTTTATCCATTTTGAAATAATATAAGTTTTATAATTTCTTGTCACACGGATGTGTTCAGTGTACTATACAGTAAATACATGTACTCCCTTTCGGTAGTAGCTAAGGGTGTTAAAAATCACATATACCTTTTCTTGCTCTCTCTTTCTTTCACCACTTTCAACCAACAATCAATCAATCTCTCCTTTTACCATTCTACCATTATTTTATTTAATAAACATTTATAACTATATTAACAAGGTAAATTATTTCTAAAAAAAACCGCATATATATATTTTTGATGTGGTGACCCTGCAAATAGGGTTGATATCCAATAGAAGAAGATTAAAAGCTTTATACATGCCTAAGATAAACAGGTTGGGAACAAACCCCCTATGTGATAATACCTGTATAGAGTGATTATCCTTCTATAGAGGGATACATTTGTTTAGAATGGATTAAAGCAGGAAGATTTTATTTTCTAGTATTATTGGGTATAATATAAGGTATCAATTATTGCACTTTACTAAAAATTGTGACGCCCATGAGTTTTCTGCTCAAGTGACAGAACTTGCAATCTATTGTGTACCATCTGAACACCTGATCAACAACAATAGGGACAGTTGATCTTTAAATTTCATTTTAAATCTAACAATAGAAATCTGTTCATTGAGGCATAACTGAGTGGAATTTACCTGATCATCACAGTGATCGAAATTCAATTATTCCTAAACTCTATATGGTCATAATAATGAATGGGAAAAATTGACATTAATAATGATTATGGACTAAGTTTGAAAATAGATCAAAATAATACAGTGACACAAAACTCCCATTGAAAAGAAAATAATAAGTTAGAGTTTCCCTCCTCATGGAAATATTAAAAGCATTCCAAACAACATTATCAATAAACTTATTAAATTACATGAATTATTTAAATAAAAGAATAATAAAAAAAATAAGAATATGCAGTATGATAACCAAATGAGACAACACAAATGTCATCATAAGCCCATTCTGTAATTGAGTAAGCTTGGGATAGGCATCATGTACATAAAGTGACAGGGTTAAACATGCTTGTGAATGGTCAACCCTCCCCTAACATGGAACAGTGGTGTTAAACAGCACAACATATGAACAAAATATATAAATCAGTTGAAAAAGGATTGACTCAACAGATCGACACAAACAACAACAAAAAAAAATTAACAAAAGATTAAAGAACCGAGCCAATTAATAAATCACCACATACGAAAAAATATGTGCTGATTTGGATCAAGAAATAGTGGCATACTTCTTTTTTTTGGGTGATGATGGAAGATGAGGTTATAACCCTTCTTTTTTAATTTTATGATTGTTGTACTCTCTTTATTGTGATAAACACCAGTAAGATTTCTTGTTGTTTATCTGATACGTACATTGTAAAGAAATAAAAAAAATAATCATTTAAATAATTTGATAACAAAAAGGCAACAATATATAATATAGATCAATATCAACAGTTGTAATGTCAAATACAAAAGGTACTATTTAATGATTATTAAAAGTACATGCACACATGCAATATATACTTTTAAATCACAATTAACATGAACTTGTATAAACAAAATAAAGTTTTAGACTTCTATGTCATTTGGTCTCTGGTAGGGAGTTGTCTCATTGGCAATTATACCACATCTTCTTATTTTTATAAGTATTACTAACATGAATTTGAAGCGTTGCTTCTTATTGTCATATACCTGTATATGTATGAAATATTGTCCACTGGACATAAAGCATATAATCAATCAATCAATGACAATCAGTTAATAAATGGTGTTAAAATTAGAAATTAAAGTTTATTAGAAAATAACTTGTACAAACACTTCCTGAAAATGGTCAAAGAGGCTAGATGCTTTTCCTATATTACATATTGGCATGGCTAGGAATGTGGTTGTTACTTGGTCAGTGAAGTAGCGAAACAGAATGGCATGAGACTTGTCACAGTTGTGGTTGTTGCTCTCATCAATGGCTATGGAAAACAGTTTGGACTGCAGGTCTCGGACAACCTCTTGATGAAGAGTTAAGGTGCAAAGGACTTCTTGATGATTTGTGTAGTCTTTGTACGGCTGCATGCAAACTTTGTAGCTATCTTGCTGTCTGTAAACAAGGCTTTACACAGCTTTGTGAAGCAGTCTGCAAGTAGAAAGGAGATGTTGTGCTGTGCTATGAAGTTGGACCACTACTACTACTAAATAGAGTTTAATGGCGACTACCCTTGCGGGTATTGCGACAGATTACCTTATATAAAAACATTTCAAACAAATGTTTTAAAATTTATTATTATATAGGAATTAACCTGTATTATATATTCATATTATAGTAAATTGTGAGTTGTTTTTTTTTGTTTTGTTTTTTTTCCTTAAATTTAATCTTGATATTTAAAACTGAACTATGGTGTGTATTTTAATTATCTTAATTTTCTTGTGGTTAATTTATAGTGAGAAGAAAAATTTATGTGAGCTTATTATTCTGTTATTTGTAACTTAGCCTGCTTTGTTTATAAATATTAAATGATTTGGTAAGTAGGTGTGTTTGTTGTTTATAAATGAAAACTGTAAGTATCAAATACTCTTGGATAGACATATCTGACTTTTCCAAATATGCAAATCCTAGAAGGGGTCTGACATATTCCCGTACATGATATATACATTAATACAACTATACCGCGGCTCGTACCTCCTTGGTAAATTGTGATTCTCTGTATATTGAATTTAACTAAAGATAGCACCTTCACTTATATTATAAAAGATTCATAAACTTACGTTCTAGAAGAAAAATATATATAGTATTACCGTGTATGTATAATTAGGATCTATAAGATTAATGTATTGTTTTGACATTTTTGAGTGTAATAAATTGTAAGTGTTCATGTTTTGCAGTTATGTACAGTATAGATACCAGAGAGTGCTATCTTGGTAGTACTTGATTTAGTGTACTACTTTAAAAAAAAAACTTTTGTAAAAGTTTTAGTGTATATTGTCAAATTCAACGGGGTTATGTTTCTAATATTTAGAAATCATAAACTGATAAATGATACCTTCCAGCTCTGTTACAACTATTAAAAAGCCAATATTTAGAAATGAAAAAACTAAAAAAGGTAAATAATATATATCTACCAAATTATTTGTTTTTGGTGTCGCCTGTTTAGACTGGAGTTGTTTCCCTTGCACTGGTAACCATGTGCTGTAAGCAGACACGGCGAGGAGGCTGTGAACAAACATTTTCCAGTCCAAACGGATGATTTAGCAGCCGTGAATAGTAATGAAAGACAATAATACTAATACAAGGTTAGTATTTACACGGTGCTTTGTTTTTGGTCGTTGCACCACATGACCTCAGCTTTGATAATACCTGAAAAATAAAAAAAAAAAAATAAATAAATCTACAGCATTTTATGAATACATTTTAGCCTTCTAATAAATAACCAATGGTTAACAATCAAGTCATTAATGAAGGTGTTAGGAATTTTACCTTTATGACTTAATGATATTAACTATAAAGAAAACAATGCAATAAGTTGTATCAACACTATAATTTAATTATCATGCAATTAAGAAATTCAATAGTGGTTTTCTAACAGATTAAATAATTAAAATACTGTAAATTCAGAAATTATTGCGTGCATTTATTATTGCGATTTTGTCATTTTTGGAATAAAATGCGATTTTATTTTTTGCAGTATCAATAAATCCTGTCTAATTCATATAAAAATTTCAAAATGCGAGTTTAAATTATTGCGATTATAACCCTGTCGCATTTTTCGCAATAATAAAAACATTGCAATAATTTCTGAATTTACAGTATTTACTCAATTTTAGATGATTATTAAATGATCATAATCAAAATATTGTACATATATTATCACTTTTAATATGACTAAAGATATTATTTATCAACATTAAATAATTGACATTTCACAAATTAAACTGACACTACAAACTGCTCAGAGTCTGAAAAGACTTAGTTTTTGTGCTCGACCAGTAAAGTCGAGCACACATTTTACTCGACATTGTCTCGACATTGTCTCGACATTGTCTCGACAGTACTTAATTGTACTCGACTAGGTCTCGACTTTACTTAATTAGTCTGATTCAGTACTTGATGATCTTGGTGTAGTCTGAAATGGTCTCGACCAAGGCTTGACCAGTCTCGACCTGGCTTGACCAGTCTCGACCTGTCTCAACCAGTCTCAACCTGTCTTGACTAGTCTCGACTCAGTCTTAACCAGTCTCGACCTGTCTCAACTAGTCTGGACCTTCAAATTTAGTCTTCACTGGTATAAATCAGCCCATCTAACTAAATTAAATAAAGATCTTACAAAATTCCAGTTTATTTGTTAGTTTGATTCATTGCTGTGAAATGAAAGAATTTAATTAATAGGTAAAAAAAAAAATGATTAAATTCAGATAGGCATCTTTAATTTTTTTTATAACTTTTTCAAATCAACTAGGATTTTCATCCAACTATACAGCTATCTTAGTAATATATTGATCTTACTGAATCACAGGTCATTATGTAGTTTGGTGTATTGCTGTCAAATTTAAGGATTAAATTAATCTAGGTCAAAAAAGCTTGAATTTGCATTTCAGACTATATTCAGATAGTACACTTTAAATCTTTTTATAACTTTTTCAAATCAACTTGGATTTTCATCAAACTATACAGCTACCTTGGTAATATATTGATCTTACTGAATCAAAGGTCATTATGTAGTTTGGTGTATTGCTGGCAAATTTAATCTAAGTCAAAAAAGCTAGGATTTGCAATTTTGGACAAAATTCAGATAGTACACTTTAATTTTTTTTATAACTTTTTCAAATCAACTAGTATTTTCATCAAACTATGCAGCTATATTAGTAATATATTGATCTTACTGAATCACAGGTCATTATGTAGTTTGGTGTATTGCTGTCAAATTTAAGATTCAAATTAACCTAGGTAAAAAAAGCTAGGATTTGCAATTTCGGACAAAATTCAGATAGTACACTTTAATTTTTTTTATAACTTTTTCAAATCAACTAGGATTTTCATTAAAATATACAGCTATCTTAGTAATATATTGATCTTACTGAATCATAGGTCATTATGTAGTTTGGTGTATTGCTGTCAAATTTAAGGATTAAATTAATCTCTGTCAAAAAAGCTAGAATTTGCAGTTCGGACTATATTCAGATAGTACACTTTAAATCTTTTTATAACTTTTTCAAATCAACTTGGATTTTCATCAAACTATACAGCTACCTTGGTAATATATTGATCTTACTGAATGAAAGGTCATTATGTAGTTTGGTGTATTGCTGTCAAATTTAATCTAGGTCAAAAAAGCTTGAATTTGCAGTTCGGACTATATTCAGATAGTACACTTTAATTCTTTTTATAACTTTTTCAAATCAACTTAGATTTTCATCTGACTATACAGCTACCTTGGTAATATATTAATCTTACTGATTCCCAGGTTGTTAAGAAGTTTGGTGTATTGCTGTCAAATTTAAGAATTAAATTAATCTAGGTCCAAAAAGCTAGGATTTGCAGTTCAGACAAAATAGAGATAGTACACTTTAATTTTTTTTATAACTTTTTCAAATCAACTTGGATTTTCATCAAACTATACAGCTACCTTGGATATATATTGATCTTACTGAATGAAAGGTCATTATGTAGTTTGGTGTATTGCTGTCAAATTTAATCTAGGTCGAAAAAGCTAGGATTTGCAATTTTGGACAAAATTCAGATAGTACACTTTAATTTTTTTTTATACCTTTTTCAAATCAACTATGAAAAACTAGCCTGCCAAATTGTAATTAAATACAATACTTTTAAATCAGAAATTTTTGTGTGCATTTATGATTGGTATTTTTGAAGAATTGACAATAATGCAAGATTAATTATTGGGATTTCAGGAAAATCTGCATGCAGAAATAAATATCAGATATAAGAATGTGAGTTCGTATTATTGCGATACTCAACTAGTGGCATTATTCACATTAATAAAAACATCTCAATAATTTCTGAATTGACAGTTATATGTTTTATATGTATGAATATCTTAGACAGAATCTCAAACAATGTTCATCAGTTGTTTAAATTTTTTTCCCTGCTGTAATTCTGTGTGTATTGGAAGGTAATAAAAATGTCAGAATGAATAAGTACATTCAATATATCTACCTACCTAAATGTTTCCAAATGCAGGAGGTCACTTTGCTCCTCTATATTTAGCTCTGTTTCATCTTCACTAATTACATTTGTGCTGTCAATAGATATTTGAAAAGAGGTCTTTACCTAGATAAACTAGCAAAAAAAAAAGAAACTGTGAATCGTATAAATCATTTGAAGATATCTGGTCATACAGATTTTTGTATGATTCTTGAACCAATGCATTTTTATCAAATTTTCTTGCCCAAGGTATCGTTTTGTAGAATAAGGTGTAAAACATTTCATTAATCTTTAAGAAATGAGAAAAACATTTTTCTGACTTCTTTGAAGCCAATGGAAAGCCATGTAACCAAACTAATATGAAATAATTTTAATTCTTGTAGAATAATCCAGATCTTCCATTTGAAATACTAAAGCTGTCTGTTGAAAGTGATTTTGTACAGAGTTTGAATATGGCATTAGAAGTAAGTATATGAATCAAGAAAGATCTTGGCAAATTTTAATATTTATCAATAAGACAGCAACCCAACAGTGGAAATACACGTCTAGAGGTTATTATACAAAATTAAAAAAAAGAGTTAACATAAGTCAGGCTGTTGTTTTTGCTTTTGAATTGTTTTGTTTTGTCAGCCTTGGACTTTATTGTTGTTTTGTTTATTATAAATCATTTAATAATAGTTGATTGCTCTTAAAACTTCAAAGATAAGGAGACAACTACCTTGAACAGGGTCAAGTGTATGTCTGACTTCTCAATGATATCTTACTGTGCATTCCAAAAAAAACTGTCAAAAGTTTATCAAACAAAGGTTTTAAATTACGATGTGTTACAATCTTATTAAAAAATAAAGTTTCTGAAAACATCTAGTTATACTCAATTCTTCAGATTGGGTTCTTGCATGATTCTTTAGTATGGGTACACAAAATAGTTTCATGTTCCATGTTAGTGTTTTATTGAACAAGGTGTTAAACATTTCACTGCTGACATAACCAAACAATATGTTTTTTTTGTGAAACCGAAACAAATTATTACTCCATGATATTTTTTTCCAGATAATTGCATTGTCAAGACTTGACAAGTAAATGCTGCAATGGAATTGCTTGATAAATATCATGTTCAGACATCTATCAGCTATGACCAGCCATCAAAAATATTTCCAGACTGTGTAAGAATTAATGAATGTGTTTATTGCCTGGTTGCACAAAATGCATAGTAGGATTATGATATAGGGAATGTCTGTCAAGTGGGGAAAAGAGTATGCCCGTTTCGAGTAATCAACTCCTCCAGCAGTGTTTAACCCAGAGACTTTACACTTTCTTAAATGTTTGAAAATATATTGAAGATGAAGATGTGGACCCCACTTTATGGATACATTGGAAATTTTTGCAAATTTTCCAGATGGTGAAACTTAGTAAATTTTCTGTAGGATTCATAATGGAGGGTACAAATTTTGTGAAATCGAACTCTTTTTATTTTTTTTCATCCAAAGCCCCCAAATTTTCTGTAATGCTTTTTAGCTCACCTTTAAATAGCAAAAATTATCAGCAAGACAAGATCTACAAATAAGTCGACATGGCTGAAATCGTCAGACAACTTCTTATGAGAGTTATTGCCCTTTAATGACAATTTTAAGCAAGTTTTCACGTTTTTGCCTATTAACTATCTTAAAAACTACAATAGAAAGATAGAAAATTCAAAAAGCATAAGTGATCAGCAATACTAGGTCTACAAATAATTTGAATATAGCAAAAATCTTCAGTCGACTCGTTATTGGAGTTACTGCTCTTTAATGACGATTTTTACCAATTTTATGTGTGTTTGCTTATTATCTTGAAAACTATTAAAAATGTATAGAAACTTTAAATAACAAAAATGATCAGCATGGGCAAGATCTTCAAACAGGTCAAATTTTATAGGAGTTAAATGACAAATTATTTTTACCCTCTTTTTGTGTTTTGGGCAAAAATTGAAGTAGATAGAGAGAAACTTAACAGAAAAAAATTATCAGCAATACAAGATCAACAAAAAAGAGATTTTTGTCATGAATATACAATGTTAAAGAGTGTCCATTTTCTATGATGCACATAGACCTAGGTGAGCGATTCAGGTTCTTTAAAGCCTTTAGTTTATATATTGAAGATATGCATCTAATTTACAAAAAAACATTTGGATAGTTTTCACAGATTTTTCCAAATGGTGACTTTTTTGCAGCAATCTCAATAAAGGGTAACCATGTTTTGGATGAATTTAAATATTATCTATTATCTCTTAGGAAAACAGAAATCAGTAGATATCACTTTTTTAGTTTAAACAATATTTTATTCAGATAAATCAATACATAGTTTACAATTCTGATACATAAAATAAATTCTGATACATAAAATAAATAGGATTCAGAAACAAGCAAAAATTGCTTTTAGTAATCTGTATCATTTTTTTTAACTAGCATTCAAATACCAGTGTCATTATGTCTATATTTCTTCTCAAAATTACAAACCTAATGTATTACAGATTTTTGTGATTCTGTGGTTTTAATTCAAATATTTTTTATTGTCAATTAAAGACGCCCATTACAGGCAGAATAATCAAGTTAAATTTGGTACAAATGATTACAATGATAACAATGATTTGAATACATTTAAATCTATGAATAAAATTAAAAGAAAAGGACACAATAATGTATATTTATATAAATATTATATGTTTCCACATTGACAAATACAGTGATCCTAAAAATATAGAAAACTGATTAAAATATTCTGTTTTTTCTGGTGCTGTCATAAGAACATAATAACAAGCACAATTATAAATAGCTAAATTATGCATACATATATTCATACCAGAGAAAAAAAAAATCTGTTAACTGTAAAATTTATAACTTTACTAAGTTTCTAATAGTTGTTTTCGAACAATATTTAAATTTTCATTTAAATTGCTCACTTGATTAAATGTGTGACTATCTTCATTGGACATTAGCCAAATAAATTGTGATTGATAATCTAAACTGTGAAAATTTTTGTAACTTTTAGCTATGTTTGAAATGATGGAAACTCTCCCACTTTCTATAGATGAACATTTTAGTAGAAAGTGGCGTTCGTCTTCCACTTCTTTTTTACAAAGATTACAAATTCTATCTATTGCCTGAAGTCCCCTGTATCTACCTCTCTCTATTTCTAGATTTTGGTTACTTATTCTGAATTTTGTCATCTGAATTCTCAGATTGCTATTGCCTATCGACAGATAGGGTTCAAAATTTACATTTCTCATAAAAAGTCTATATGTTCTTAGTTTATTTCCAAATGACATGTTTTTATATGCCCCTGCCATAGAGGAGGGGGCATTAAGTTTTACCCTTGTCCGTCTGTACGTACGTTCCAAAGTTGGTTTCTGTTCTCTAACTTTAGTTTGCCTCAACCAAATGTTATGAAACTTATACACAATGCTTATTACCACAAAACACAGATCAAGTATGAATTTTGGTGGCGTCACTTTAACTGTTCTAGAGTTATGCCCCTTTACAAATGGAAACATTGCTGAATTTTTCATTTCCGTTCTGTAACTTAAGTTAACCTTAACCAAATGTTATGAAACTTATACACAATGCTTATTACCACAAAACACAGATCAAGTTTGAATTTTGGTGGCGTCACTTCAACCATTCTAGAGCTATGTCCCTTTACAAATGGCAAAATTGCTGAATTTTCCGTGTCCGTTCTCTAACAAGTTTGCCTGAATTAAATTTTATGAAACTTATACACAATACTTATTACCACAAAACTCAGATCAAGTTTGAATTTGGGTAGCGTCAGTTTTACCGTTCTTCAGTTATGTCCCTTTATAACTTTATATGATATGCAAGCGGGGGCATCATCTGTGTCCCATGGACACATTCCCCATTTATTTCTGTCATCGTTTAAAGATGAATACTACAGCTGATTATACTGTAATTTTAGTCTGTTCAAAATAAATCTTTTCAAATTGCATTTCATATTAAAAACTTGTGATAAATCTATGTCTTAGTATTTTGCTAATGAACTCATAGAATTATACCAACTTTTGTTACTATGGTTCGATAAGGATTTTGATATAAGGAGGGCTTCAGACAATAATTTGTCCTCTGTTTTTGTTAAACGTGATAGATAAGAAAACACATTAACTATAACTTCAATAAATAATGGGTATCTCCCTAGCTCACCTATCACTGCCATATTTGTGTTTCTCTTTCCTACTCCCAGTGAATCTAAAGCGCCCCAAATTTCACTTCCATAAGTTAGAATTGGTTTCACTGTGTGGTCAAATATATTTAATAAAGTTTTAATTTTGGGTTTATGACCTTTAAATATTTTATAAATTTTGGAAAGGGCTTTGAGTCCTCTTTTATATAGGTCATGTTTTGCCTCTGTAAAGCTTCTAGAGGTACTGAACTTTTTCCCTAAGTATGTATACTGTCTAGCTTTATCAAAAGGACAATTATTCAATTTAAAAGTTGAGTGATTTATTTTTCCTGTACAATTGAAAACCATACTTTTTGTTTTCTTACGGTTAATTTCTAATCCCCTTTTATTACAGTACAGATATAACTTCTCTAAACAATTTTGTAAGCCTTCTGCTGTTTCAGACAGCAAAACTACGTCATCAGCATATAATAAGCAGTTCAACTGAATTGAGTCAAGTTGAACTTGGTCACAAGTTTTATCAAATAGTTCTGGAAGGTCATTAATGAATAATTTAAAAAGGTTAGGGCTAAGATTATCCACTTAGCGAGAAGGAGTCTGTCATGTGAGATCTGCCAATTCTCACATTCAACTAAGTCTTTTTATACATGCTTTTAATAACATTATATTATAAGTCACTTATACCATATTGTCTTAGTTTATAGAAGAAATCCATATGCCACACTGTATCAAATGCCTTTTTGAAGTCGACGAAACAAGAAAAGAAAAGCTTAGGACCCAATTGAGTATATTTTTCTATTAATGTTCTGAGAACAAACATATGGTCACTTGTTTCTAGCAAAAACCAATCTGTTCTTTACATATTATATTTTTCTCAGATAAAAAATTCTCTAGCCTTGTGTTTAATATTTTTGCAAATAGTTTCCCTAGTGCACTTCCAATGGTTATACCTCTATAATTTGAGGGATCATCAGTAGAATTGCTTTTGAATATTGGCAAAATAAATCCTTTAGCCCACATAGTAGGGAAGGAACCAGTTATCAGAATATAATTAAATAATTTTTTAGAACTTGTTAATAGAAATGACTGGCTATACTTAAAAATTTCATTTAAGATCATGTCAAAGCCACTTGACTTCTTGTTTTTTAATGTATATATTGCTGCAATTACTTCTTTATCATTGATCTGGAAGTCTAGTTCTGAAAATATTTTTTCCTTTTCCAATTGCTTAAAATGTTGAATAAAATTGTTATCGGTTGTATTAATTTTACTTTTTTTTAGCTCTTTAAAATAATCAAACCATGAATAAGTTGGAATGTCTGGAGATGTAGATTTGTTTTTAATCATTAGATAAATCCTTTAGTAAATTCCAGTATTTATTAAGGTTATTTTCATGTAGGTTGTCAAGCTCATCAATAACACTTCGTCTAAATTCCTTTAAATTATGTTTTCTAGTTTTTCTGTACAATTTTGATAGTGAAAAATAAGATGTCCTAACAATTGGATCTTTGCTATATTTTTTAAGGAGCTTTTCCTTACTATCTAATTGTCGTCTTAAGCGTGTAAGTGATATATCAAACCATTTAAGTTGTCTTATATTATTTAAATGTTTTGGGTTTTTCTTTTTGGGACGTTTTAGTTTAAGGGAGATGTCAGCTGCTTCTGTTATGATGGAATTTAAATCAGAAACAAAAATATCAATATCATCATAAATATTATCATTAAGTTCTCTTTTATTTTGTTTTGTATCTTATATGATGATAAGCCAGTTTGAAATTCTGGAGGTGAAGTTTCATCCCATATATAAGTTGATGGGGGGATTTGTGTCTTATCATTCACGGTACTCTTAATTTTACAATCTATCTTTAACGTTACTGAAATTTGACAGTGATAGCTCACCCAAAAATTTATGTACTTTAAAAAATAAGATATTTCCATTAAATTCTCAGAGGATATAAAATAGTCAACAACACTGCTACCATTTGGTGTGTAGCAAGTGAGTTGGCCAGTAAAGTCACCTAGGGTACGACCGTTTAATATTCTCAATCCAAATTTAATACATTAATCTCATATAAACTTTTACCACGTGTGGACAAAATCTCATCCATACTGTAACGTACAGGAAGGTTAAGATCTGGAGAAATTTTTGCGAAAACTGGTATATTATCAAGTGATTCATCATTATTTATAAAGTCTTAAGACCTGTGTACTAGTTCTAACATATAGATCCCCTGCTAATACAATTTTATTCAGGAATCTTGAGTATTTGGAAATATCATTCTCTATAAGGTCAAAAATATCTTCTTGTAGGGATTTTGTATATGAAGAATTTTCTGGAGGATTATAGATATAACAAAGAAAAATATCATCTTTCATTCCAAAAAGTTTCTGCAGAATTGCAGCCATATGTAATCATTATTTACATGTTCCAAAAATTTTACACCTGGTCGTAATTCTGATTTAACAAAAACTGAGACTCCTCCTGAACATTTATAAGTGCCTTTAGATTTAGGTCTAGTAAGATGAACTGGTGTAAAACCATCTAGTGAAAGGGATTCTTCTAGAGAACAATGAGTTTCAATTAAACAAACAATATCTTTATTACGTATTTCATTTACAAATCTTGTGTCACTGTATTTGTCAAAGCCCTTGTTTTTATGACCATTTATATTCCAACAACCAATGTGTAATCACGATTTTTTTGCTATTCCTTAACACATTTGAAGCAATAATAAACAAAACAAAATGGAACAGAACCTGTGACATATATAACTTTTTTTTAAAATACACTTGCATTATAATATATAAATGAAAAATAAGACAACACACCAATCCCTGTTATGCATGGTATAAGGGAGATAATCTAAATTTAGAAACTATAACTTATCAAGAAATAAGCATTGGGCGTTTTAGTTTGTGACAACATTTTTAACGGTTACAATCGCAAAAACTTAAGCAGTTACAGAAAACTTACATAGGTAAAAATGATCAGCAGGTCAAGGTCTATTTTCTGTATAATATTCCGAAAAATCGCAATACCCATTTTGTAGTTTGTAGCCCCTGAATGGATTTGGCTTTATCTCTTAAACTAAAACAGTTAGAGCAATTATGTAATCTTCAGAAATATGGGACAATCCATTTTGGAGTTGCAACTAAAAGGTTAATGAGGAAATCATTAATTGACCCATTATAGAAGTTATTGCCATTGAAAGCCAATTTTTACCTTCTTTTTCTTATACCACAATACAGATAAAACTGTAAAAGCAAAAATGTTCAGCAAAATAACATCTACAATAAACCAACATGGCAAAATTGTTAATTGAACCCTTATAGGATTAATTGGCTTTGAAATACACTGTATGTATGTAGGACTCCAAAGTGCGATGGTAATCTAAAGTGCGATGGTCTATGCTAAAGTGTGATGTTGTCAAAAGCTAATGTACAATTGTTCTTTGTTTTTTAAGCGCGATTATATGACACAATAAAGTGCAATGGTATAACACGCTAAAGTGCGATGGTGTAACGGGAATGGGGTGCAGGCAATGGTTTTCGTTTGTTGCTGTGATTCTATTAGTTTCCCGTTTAATGTTTTCTTTACAAATCAAGCCATTGTCATTCTCTTTTGAATTGTTTAACACTGGTCATTGTGTGGCTTTATGTAGCTGGCTTTGCAGCGTGGGCCAAGACAATACCACATCCTCTTATTTTTATTTAAAGTACGATAGTAATGGTTACATATTGCAGTAGTTAGTATATACTTTATGAACCTGTAATTCAGTGGTAGTCATTGTTTTTTTACTTCATATTTGTTTTTCGTTAATTGTTTTGTATAGAAATCAGGCTGTTATTTCTTGTTCGAATTGTTTTACACTGGTCTTTTTGAGGCCATTTAGTATTTATAGACCAATCTGCGTTTTTAGCCAATGCTCCGCGTTAAAGGCCATGCGTTAACCTATAGTTGTTTTCATGAATAACATTTGGTCTTGGGTGGCAGTTGTCTCATTGGCAATGATATATTATGATACTAAACCTATAGTCTTGAGGTTACTGTCTAGATGACTAATTTCCATCGCTTTAACAGAAATGATAAACCATATTGTAAAAAAAATTATTATAGAATTCAATTAGAATCACGCAAGTACTTGACATGGGATTACAAACATAGAAGGAGTTTCTAAATTAAATTTATTTTATTTGGCATTCCAGCTGTTTTGATCAAATTTCATTTTACAAATCAAGTTAACCTCTTCCAGTGCAGACCAAAAACAATCCTGATTGATATCATTTGTTTCTCTCTTCTTTCTTTTCTTGTCTAATGAAACCCTTCATCTGGACAAACATTCTGCTTTTCCGAAAAACATTTTTGTTTGTACAAATGCGAGTGATGTTGCTAAAGTCCATACATTCGCTATCAAAGCTCTTTCGTGGAAAATCGCACTATAGCATATTGAGGAATTGGACTTAAGCGTATTCCATTGAATAGCCCAGACCATCGCACTTTAGCGTATCAAACCATCGCACTTTAGCGTAGACCATCGCGTTTTAGCGTCCCCATCACACTTTAGAGTCTCACATATATATAGCAAAAATGTTTGGCAAAATAAGATCTTCTAGTTAATTGACATGGTTGAAATTATCAATTGACCCCTTATAGGAGTTATTGCCTTTGAAACATAATTTTTGAACCAGGATAGACTGAGAAAAAGTGTAAATTGAAAAAATGGTCAGCAAAATTGGATCTTGAAATAAGTCAACATTGCTGAAATTGTAAATTTGACCTCTGTAGGAGTTATTGTCCTTGAAAGATGGTTTTACCCATTTTATGCATTTTCTGTAGAAACCATAATAGCTAGAGTGAAATTTTAAATATCGACAGATGTTCAGCAAATAAGATCTACAAGTAAGTCAACATGGCTGAAATTTTCAACTGACTCCTTACAGTAGTAATTACCCCTGAATGACATTTTTAACCCCTTTAATTTTAATTTTATATAAACTGAAATAGTTAGAGAGCAAAAATATATAACAAAAATGTTCTTTAAAATAAGATCTACAAATAAGTCAACATGTTTTGGACTTATTATTCTTTAATGACAATGATTACCAATTTTTAGTGTTTTTGCCTATTAACTTGAAATCATTTTGTCCAAAAACTATAGAAGATAGAGAGATCCTGTCATCAGAAAAAAAGATCAGCAATACAAGGTCAACAAAAAAGAGATTTTGTCATGACTTCTATTCTATTCCTCAATGAGTGACATGCTCTTTAGAGCCTCTAGTTTCATTTTGGAAAAAGTTAAAACACTATTTTCATATTTGATAACACCTACAGACATGACAGAATTTTAATAATGTTCTGTTATAAAATACCACTCACCATTACTCAACTTGAGAAAAAACTGACTGGAGTTCTACCTTAAATGAAACTTTTCTTGAAAAGCCCTATATTGCTGTATATGTATATTAATTGGTGACAGGTTATACCAATTGCATATATTATAAAAAGAAACAAATCAGCTGAATTTGAGACAAAAAATTTACTTAAAGGGGCATAAGCTGTCAAATTCATGTTCACCAATTTGACTCAAATTCTCATATTTGATTTATAACATACTAAAACGTATATCCAATTTATAAAATGTCTAATATAAACAATCAACAATATATGGACTCAATAACATGTATCAACATTTCATGTGTATTTTTGTCTAGACGCCATCTAATTAACCACCGAGATGACCTCCGAAGACTGCCGACGGTCATTTAGCCCCATATAAAAATAAATATAAATATAAACAGATAGTGACCACGTGCAATTGGATTTTTCTTGGTCTGTTTGATTTCATATTGAAGGTTAAAAAGTATCATCATTTTTACCTGTATAAGAATGATTTATTTGTGGATCGAATTAGTCAATTAAATGGTTCATCCATGTTTCAATTACAATGTTGACATTCTTTTCCTTTTAATAGCGGAATACATGCGTAGCCCATGTCCAGCTAAGGGGTTAAATTGAAGGTCACATGAATACGGATTCAATGAGGTCGAATTGTTCACTTGCAAGTGAATAATTCATCAGCGATGTTTCTTAGCTTATTTTGACAAAATCGAACCAAATTGGCTGCTAAAAGCAAGTTATTATTTCACTATTTCACTTTCATTAATGATTGAACAAAAGAAAATCATATTTTATTTTTTTTTATATCTCGTAGTTAATGCGCCTTTAATCTTAGATGTCATGATATTTTTTTAAATGTATATATTCTTCATTTTGTTACATTAATGTTTCCTCTGTTTTAATTTGCATATATAATTAATCTCTCTTGTTGTAATTCTCTAGTAAAGTAATCTTTTATTTGTTGAAGGTCTGAAGGTGGTCACTATTTGGTAGAAAAGAATAGAACTGCAATCTTATTGACAGATACCCTACATCTCCTTTTTTTAAAAGCATGCAAGTAGTGGGAGTTACAAATTTTACTTGTTTGTTTGTTTGTTTTCATGATAAAAGCCCTTTTTCACTGCATTTTATATACAATTGCATGTTGGGTAGAATGTATCGTTCAAGACGAGTTATTTTCTGCTCATTGTGATATCACTGCTTTATTAACCTTCTTCCTTTGGCACCCTGTTTGTAGTACATGTATTTGGATATTATTTTCTGTTAAACTCGACAAGTTCTTGGAAGTTTATAAATTGTTCTTCTGTTCATTGATGTCTTCTTTCACCATATTATTTCATTTTTATCAACCGCAAAAATCAGCTTCCAGAATGAAAAATATGTTTGCACATCATGGAACTAATTTCATTCATGTATTATTATTGCAGGCAGACGATTTTTAATGGATAACCAATTACTAAAAATGAATAAATGTTTTATGAGATGCGAGGAATATCAAAGAAAATATGATGCGGTTTCAAAAAGTAGGTAGAAATTTATGTTCTTCATATTACAGTAAGCCCATTCTTAATTGAAACCCTGAAGGTCTACAGATTATGTTCAAATTTGACAGGTGTTTGGTTTAATCAGGTACATGGTTTATAACTATAGAATTTCATTGGAAGTTTATTTTACATAAGTGTCAACCTCTCAAGATATCAGTGAGAGCCTCTCAATAATTTTCAAAAAGTTTTGAAATCTTCCTCTTAAAAGAACACTTACCTGGTAAGTAAGTCTAATCTACCACATCCCCCCTGTTTGTAGAAATAAGATGTGGTATGATTGCTCAAAAGACATCTATCCATCGGAGACTAAAGGACAAGGATGTAAACAACTATATAGGTGGCAAGGCCACTGTTTAGTCTTCAATGATAAGCAATAACCCATACCTTGTAACAAGCTTGAAAAAGGATCTGACCTGGAAAAATCTGAAATAATTCAAAAGTGAAAAACAACAAACCTAAATGATGCTTTAAACAAATAAACAAAAAAAAAACCTGATGCATGCAGCAATCAACGACAACTTCAGACTCCTGAACAATTAGGACAGGCAGATAAAGAGTGTGGCAGGGTAACCCATGTTTGTTGAGCATTAACCCTCCCTCTAACCTGCCGTTACACAACATAAAAAAACTAGTAAAATTCAGTTGGAAAGGGCTTTACTCATCAGATTGGCACAAAGTATTTAAAACAAAATTCATGTGAAGTACTTATGCCAAATGTGAAAAAATGGGCAAAAAATTATAGACAATATTCAACTTTAATTTCAGAGACTTTTGTGTTGAAGATGTCAAATAAAATGAAAAGTGGAGAAAGTATAAGTCATGATGATCTACAGACCATGATCCATCTAGTTCAGTCACCTAGGGAATTTAATCTTTGTGTGGATATGGCTAGAAGGTAACCTTCAACCAATTCTACAGATAATTGATAGTGAATAGTGATTGATCCCAATTAGGAATTATATTTTGTGGTTCAATACATGTACTTATTTACAGACACTGAAGTCAATTTTTTTTGCAAGGAATTTTGAAAATCTTTATCCCTCAGGTTATGTTAATTTGAAGTAGAAAAATTGATATACCAAGTATGAAGTGTAAAACCATAACTTCCAATTCACTTTAAAGAAAGTTCATAGTTTACTATAGAATTTACATTTGTAAAATTTGAACAAAGGTAGATCAAACACATATTCAGCAAACTCAAGTCTAGATAGGTGAAATAATACACAAACTGTACAAATTTTAATGAACCAGATGCACATATCAACAATTAATGTCTCTTCAGTGATGCTCGAGGCCAAAATATTTGAATATGCAAAATCTAATTCAAATGCCGAAAAATGTATCAAACCAAAAAGGACCTAAAGTAATGCCAAGTTTGGACAAGGAATCTGAGCTTTGCATGAGGGAGATGTATTCCTTAATTCAAAATAATTTCAAAAATTTGTAATAGCCAATTTTAAACAACCAATATCCGTAAATAAGTCTGCTTTTATTGTGTTGATGTAATTTTCTAAGTTATCTTAAGTTAATTATCCCATTGAATTTAAGCCATCAGAGTTTTTTTCATCAGAGTTGTATAAGCAGTTTTCATTGTATTTCAGATATCAAACAGCAAAGGTTAATGCATCTGAAAATGGCAAAGTTTGTCTACCTGTGAATCACCAACTAGCAACGGTTCAATCACCTATTAATAAGGAAACTGCCAAAGTTCATACACCTGTAGAAAAGCAACCAGCCATTTTTCGAGCACCTAAAATTCACTAAACTTCAAAGGTTCATGCTCCTGTAAATCACCAAACATCCAAGGTTTATACACATATAAAACATTATACAGCAAAGGTTCATGTGCTTGCAAACCATCAAAATAACGAAGTTCATTCTCCTGGTAACAACAGTGATTGCAAGGTTTCTTTATTTTCAAATCACCAAATTGCCAAAGATCATACACCCATAATTGACGAAACTGGTAATGTTCCTAATCCAGCAAAGTACCAGAATGTCAAGTTGGACATTGGGCCACAGTTCATGAGGATTTTGCATCATTTTAAGAAAGCATATATCGCTATTATGCTTATGGAAGATAGGGTAGGTTTATCTTGAATTACTGGTAGTTTAAAAGATATAGATTGTCAAACTATTAGTCTTTTAGTTTGTCAAACCATTAATCTTTTAGTTTGTCAAACAATTAGTCTTTTAGTTTGTCAAACCACTAGTCTTGTAGTTTGTCAAACAATTAGTCTTTTAGTTTGTTAAACAATTAGTCTTTTTGTCAGTCAAACAATTAGTCTTTTAGTTTGTCAACTTACCTCTGTTATCAAGCATAAACCTTGAATTTATAAAGTCTGTGGCTATATTATTATTTTAATGAACATGATGAATGTTTTCCAAATTTTTTATTACAAAAATTACATTCTGGTAATAGAAAAACTTAGTGGGAGCATACCTTGTTTTATGCTGTTATCTAACTGTGTCTGTTGGTGTCTGACAACAACTAGTCTAAAAGAAATTGAATCGAAGCCAAAGCGTCATGGTATTTATAAAATTTGAGCAAAAAAATAATTAGAACACCACAGATAATGATAAAATAATAGTAAGAAAAATAACGATGAAATGTATTTAAACAAATTATGAATAATGGTATCTACATTTTTCAGTCCACCATGAGGAACTTTCTGTATAACAACTGTGATTGATGTGTATATGGATCTACTATTCAAGACAGGAGAATATGAGAAAGTTGTGAAAACCTAGGAAGAAATAGATTATTTTAATGAACAAAAACTTACAAATCATATGACACTGGTCATGGCAGCTTTATATAATTTAGTAAGTATTTTATCGTTTTTCACCTTTAAAAAAGTGTACAGCCTATGAAGCCTCATGGTAGTTCAGGGGTTTAAATTTTCGCACCGTCTGCGCAGGAGGTTGTAAGTTATGCTTATTTTCGTAATTTGCCATAACAATAAAATTTGATTATTAAAATAATCCATTTTATTTAAATAAATTGAGGAAGAGTTGAATAATTGAAAACTGCAATTTCATATTTTTATAAAGTTTATTGTTGGAAATGTACTTCCGTTCTGGAAATCTGGAGCATGTTCTTGATGTCGGAGAATAGAGAAAGACAATATAATTCATAATAATCGAACACGTGAACTGCTTTTCATGAATACTGTAATGCAGATAAAAAATTATAGATAACGATCTTCATTTTGGTAGCTTACGAAGCAGTTTCACTCATGTCTCCTACACTAGAAAAGGTCCTGCAAATATGCGAAAGATGGATGCAAACAAAACATGAAAAAGGGAAAACCGGAAAGTAAGTATTTTAAATAGTCTGCTTATGAATTGAATACAAGTGCTCAGAGAGCAATTTTTCATGACCCTTGAAAAATCAATTGCAAGTGTAAAATTAGCGGAAATGATTTCACAGCAAAATCCATGAACAACAAAACAATGACCCCCCCACCATGAGGAACTTTCTGTATAACAACTGTGATTGATGTGTATATGGATCTACTATTCAAGACAGGAGAATATGAGAAAGTTGTGAAAACCTAGGAAGAAATAGATTATTTTAATGAAAAAAAACTTACAAATCATATGACACTGGTCATGGCAGCTTTATATAATTTAGTAGGTATTTTATCTTTTTTTACCTTTAAAAAAATGCACAGCCTATGAAGCCTCATGGTAGTTCAGGGGTTTAAATTTTCGCACCGTCTGCGCAGGAGGTTGTAAGTTATGCTTATTTTCGTAATTTGCCATAACAATAAAATTTGATTATTAAAATAATCCATTTTATTTAAATAAATTGAGGAAGAGTTGAATAATTGAAAACTGCAATTTCATATTTTTATAAAGTTTATTGTTGGAAATGTACTTCCGTTCTGGAAATCTGGAGCATGTTCTTGATGTCGGAGAATAGAGAAAGACAATATAATTCATAATAATCGAACACGTGAACTGCTTTTCATGAATACTGTAATGCAGATAAAAAATTATAGATAACGATCTTCATTTTGGTAGCTTACGAAGCAGTTTCACTCATGTCTCCTACACTAGAAAAGGTCCTGCAAATATGCGAAAGATGGATGCAAACAAAACATGAAAAAGGGAAAAACCGGAAAGTAAGTATTTTAAATAGTCTGCTTATGAATTGAATACAAGTGCTCAGAGAGCAATTTTTCATGACCCTTGAAAAATCAATTGCAAGCGTAAAATTAGCGGAAATGATTTCACAGCAAAATCCATGAACAACAAAACAATGACCCCCCCCCCCCCCCCCCCCTTGAGTCTGAAATATATATGTAAACATAGCTCATGGTACTTTACTCCTTGTAATTTATTTGATAATTTGTAGACCTTAGTGTTCTGGTGTGTTTACATCTCCATAGGGGGAGGACCATTTGGGTTTCTGGGAGAAAAGGTCATAAAAGTAGGAGGTTTTTTGCAAACAGAATTTTCATTTTTTCTTGTTGCAAACCTGGAATATTCGAATGCGGGTGATTTTGCCCCGATTCCAGTCGTCACATGAATTTGTTTCGCAAATAATATTGGATTTTTTTTCGCACCAATTCCTGTTTACTGGGTCATTTCTGACACAGAGATTTTATATAATGAAATTAGAAATGTATGTTAATTGGCCAAGAACATGAACTTGTTAAAATACATTTTATGGAAGCATCATTTAGTCCAGCCATTTTTGGTTAAGGGCATACGATACAGTAGAGATCCCTCGTTGATTTTTTCTTGAAATTTTGGTAGAAGGTCAATTTTGATGTGTACTTTTGAAATATGCAAAGAAAAATATACCTTCATGACTTACTTTTTGAGATAATTTGGTTTGAAATTTGCATATTTGAAGGGAAAACCCTGAAATTTCATAAAAAAGGACTTTTAAAGAAAGTTACAATACTTTTGAACGATAATAACAGTCATAACTTAACCGGGTTTTTTGTAAAATGTTCCCTTGATCCATGGCATGACCATGCTGTAACAAGTTTAAGGTTAAACAAAATTGTTGTTTTCTGAATTTACTTTACTATTAGTGAAATAAAGAAATTGACAATATTTTTGCGTCTATTCAGAAGTGCAGAAAAAAATCGATCGTTGATTTTTTCTTAAAATTTTGGCGGAGTGTTCTTTAAATATTACTTGATTGATTGCAAAAGAAAAAACTGGGGGTCCATGTGCTTGTTTTTTCAATAAAAGCAATAAACTTTGATTTTTAATTGCAAACGGGACGTTTGCCAATAGGGCGCTAAACTACGTTGAAATAAGTTTTAATCGCAATAACGTCGTAAAATCATTCCCGCCGTTCATGATTACGCTGTCAAGTTCAGTGGTATAGCCAAGTTTTTTTTTCGAAAGCAATGATATTATTCATTATAATTTTTAAAGCTGGTTACTCGTAAAATAGCATAAAATATTTGCCAAACCTTTATGAATTGTTACGAATCTTGGACATGCTGGATACAAAAAGTATTCTAGTAAATTACTTTTAGAAAAGAAATGTTCGGAAACATAAAAAGATAAATTTGATAAAAATAAATATTCATAATCAAAATATAATAATAACAATAAAAATAAATGGGGAATGTGTCCATGGGACACAGATGATGCCCCCGCTTGCATATAACGTTATAAAGGGATATAACTCAAGAACTGTAAAAGTGACGCTACCCAAATTTGTACTTGATCTGAGTTTTGCGGTAATAAGCATTGTGCATAAGTTTCATAACATTTGGTTGAGGCAAACTAAAATTAGAGAACAGAAACAAATATTTCAGAATTTTTTCCATTTGTTAAGGGCATAACTCTAGAACGGTAAAAGTGACCCCACCAAAATTCAAACTTCTCATGTCTTCTTTGACTGTCCATGACGTTAAAATATTAAATCCCTGGGATGTGTTTTAGTTGATTTTAGTCTCTGATGCATGATTTTTTATTATTAATTGTTTTGGCTTTTAACTAGCTGTCAGTAACTGCGAGTACTCTCAAATCGTACTTTCTTGTTTATTTGACCTGTTGATACTAATTGTATTGCTTTTTTGTTATTTAATGTTATTCAGGGTTATATCTGGTCTATATACCAGCTTTGATAAGTGTTTGGTATAACTATAAATTTTCACTTCGTACTATGAACATCAAAATTATTTATTTTGTAAAAATATTTCCTTTCTCCATTGGTACTATATACACGTATACCTAACAACAAAATTATTTTCATTTACCTGTGTTTAAAGTTAGTGCAAATAGCTGATATTTTTGTTCGAGCATATTGTTTTTCTTTAATTGTTTAACATTTCTTACCGATATAACATGTTACTTTTATTATTCTTCCCTTAGTTTATTTATTTTGTATTTACATTGTGTCATAGGTCAAATTTATTTGTTCAGTGTATGTTCAATGGTGTTAATATGTCCTTTGATTGAGTTAAGCTATTTCAGTTGATATTTTATAGTGTGTCTTTCTATGTTGTGATGTTACACTATTGTTTCGGAAAAAGGGTGAAGGTTTGGTACCATTAAAACGTTTAAACCCGCTGCATTTGTTTGCACCTGTCCTAAGTCAGGAATCTGATGTTCAGTAGTTGTCGTTTGTTGATGTGGTTCATAAGTTTTTCTCGTTTCTCGTTTTTTATATAGATTAGACCGTTGGTTTTCCCGTTTGAATGGTTTTACACTAGTAATTTTTGGGGCCCTTTATAGCTTACTGTTCGGTGTGAGCCAAGGCTCCGTGTTGAAGACCGTACTGTGACCTATAATGGTTTACTTTTATAAATTTTGACTTGGATGGAGAGTTGTCTCAATGGCACTCATACCACATCTTCTTATATCTATTGATCTGTGTTTTGTGGTAATAAGCATTGTGTATAAGTTTCATAACATTTGGTTGAGGCAAACTAAAGTTAGAGAACGGAAACGAAAAATTCAGCAATTTTTCCATTTGTAAAGGGGCATAACTCTAGAATGGTAAAAGTGACGCCACCAAAATTCAAACTTGATCTGTGTTTTGTGGTAATAAGCGTTGTGTATAAGTTTCATAACATTTGGTTGAGGCAAACTAAAGTTAGAGAACGGAAACCAATTTTGGGACGTACGTACGTACGTACAGACGGACAAGGGTAAAACTTAATGCCCCCTCCGCTACGGCGTTGGCATAAAAAATAATTTGCATCTCAGTCCGACATTAGTCCTTCAACTCATGCAGACAACACAGCTTGGGCATATTTTTAATTATTCAAAAGGTCCCAACAAGACAAAATATGAAACAATTATCAAGTAAGTGGGATAATATAAAAATAAGGACAGTTGGTATGATTGCCAATGAGACAACTATCAACCATATTTCAAATTACGAAGATAAACGCAATTAAGGGTCACCGCACGGCCTTCACCAAAAAAAAAGCCTCACTGTTTAGTCAGTTTTAAAAAGCCCCGACATGAAAATGTGAACAATTCAATCAAGAAAACTATCGGCCTACTATATAGGCATTATATGAACACAAAACCATACCCAAATTAACTCGGGTCAGCTTAGAACTACTCTGAACATGTTCAAAAAGGTGTATATTTAGAGCTGTTTCGAGCAAATTCATGTCGTAATTGTCTCAATAAAGTCCATTACGGTGTAGTTTAACATTTCATAGGAAGTACAGCAGTCGGTATTAGATCATGAAATTGCATGATTTTGTATCAAGAGATAAGTTGCCTAAGTTTATTTGTCTTCAGGGTATTTTTATACCCCCGCAAATGAAAGTTGGGTGGCGTATTGTTTTACACCTGTCCGTCTGTCCGTCCGTCATTCCGTCTATAATACTGACAGTTCTTTTTCATACACATATGTATTCCACTGGGTTAAATTCTAAAAATGCCGTTAAACTTTTTAATGTACTTATTCAAAGTCAGGTGCAGTATGAGGCGTTGTCTTTATTAATCATGTTATTTTGTCATTTTGTTGATAGTCTCTGTTAAATTTATTTGCACAATTCTCCATACAGTTTTCCAAATGGTGTAGATATTATATATAGATCAAGACAGTACGTTGATATCTAAATTACATTTAATTACTTATTGGTCTTTTTGTTTAGTTGGGTTTCTGTCTCATCGACGTATCATTATTTGCATATCTGTTATTCATTTCCTATATGAAATAAAACATATACAAGAGTATGAATGTGGATTTAATTTTTTTTCTTCACATTTCAAGTTAATACTCAATATTAATGAATGAATATAACAATTTTCATGATATGGCCTATTTTCTTGGCAGGTACTTTTTTTTCAAATTCGCGCAACCGGATTTGTGACGTCACTGGATTTTCCGCAAATGTGACTACATTTAAAACGACGTCGCGAAATGTAATCGTTCTTATTAGAAACTTCGCGAAATTACAACGTTCTGATTAACAACGTCGCGAAAACAACACGAACAGTTTTGAAAACGTTATTATCTGCCCCTGCTACTGTATCGTATTCCCTTAAGCATGCCCACTGTTAAAGTTTAGAACAGTTCCCTATATAGGTTGTATAAATTATTTTTAAAAATGAATCATTTCACAAAACTACCTTTCCTATCTGATGGTCTGGATGGCGGGTCCTTCATTTCTTTCTTCTCTAATTTTTTATACCATTTTTCTCTATTCTTTTATTTTGTTTTTCCCATTTTTCTCTATTCTTTATTTTGTTTTTCCCATTTTTCCCTATTCTTTATTTTGTTTTTCCCATTTTTCTGTATTTCTTATAATTTATCACCCCATTATTCTTTATTGTTTTGTCTATTTTTCTATTTTCTTTATTTATTTTACACATTACATGCATTATTCTCTATTCTTTAAAACTAATCTAGACCCTCCTATTTGATCCTGCAGAATCGTCATGAGGGAAAAACAAAACTGTTTTACTTCTGAGCAGGAAAACCTGTCTTGTCATAAAATGTTTTAAATTTTTATAGCTTATTAGGCATCTTTTAATGATATTGCTGTTGACTGGTCAGCATTTGGTTATAATCCTGGGAAACAGGTATAAATTGTTAATTATAATTAGTCGTTTAAAACTAGATACATATCAAGCGGTGTAGAATATTATAAATGTAGGTTGAAGTTTCATATTAACACTAAATTTT